TATTATTATTATTATTATTATTATTATTATTATTATTATTGTTATTATTATTGTTGTTGTTATTGTTATTATTATTATTATTAGAATTATTATATTTTAAGTATTATTATTATTATTTAATTACTATTGTTGATTTTATGGGAAGCTCTAAATCGGTATGGGGTCATTTAGTGTAAGGAGTGCTGGAGGCTCGATCCTGTCAGCTTAAGCTCCAATATCTGTAACAGATTATTTCAGCAATGATGACTTAATGCAGTGTGATTCACGCTGATTTCATGGCAAGTGGTGTGGGCGTGGGTGGCATGAGGTGTGGGCGTGGGTGGCATGAGGTGTGGGCGTGGGTGGCACGAGGTGTGAGCGTGGGTGGCACAAGGTGTGGGCGTGGGTGGGACGAGATGTGGGTGTAGGTGGACGAGGTGTGGACGTGGGTGGCACGAGGTGTGGCCGTGGGTGGCACGAGGTGTGGGCGTGGGTGGCACGAGGTGTGGGCGTGGGTGGCACGAGGTGTGGGCATGGGTGGCATGAGGTGTGGGCATGGGTGGCACGAGGTGTGGGCATGGGTGGCACGAGGTGTGGGCGTGGACAGTCACAATTCGTAATAACGAAATCTATATTTAACTCTACAGGAAACTCCGATGCTGACACACCCTCCATTTGGGCGTGAGGGAGTAGGGGGAGGGGCGGGCAGGGTAGGTGAGGAAGTGGGTGGAGGGGCAGGGGAGGGCAGGTGAGGGAGTGTGTCTGTGTTTGTATTCACCTGTGGTTGCAGTTGAATCACAGCTCATGGCCCCGCCTCCATGAGCTTTATCATACCTCTTCTATATCACTTTACAAATTATTCCCCTTCCTGACAACTCTATGGCTGAAGAAGTGCTTCCTAACAGGGGGTCTTGCAGCTCCTTAAGAATGGGGAAGGGAATCAGGTTTGATCCCAGGAAGGGGACATTAGTTTCAGTATCTTCATTCAAGAGCCCCTTCCCTAATATCAAGGCGGTTCCCCCTTGAAGGGTTTTCCTGGGGAGAAGGAAAGGAGCATATAAATTAACCACTGAGTAAACTTTACTTAAGGCTTGTTTAGAGTCCTCAGTTACGTAGCCACAGACTGAGGAATATCTGCACACGCCGTCACTTCTTTGTTTCACATCTGGGAATCTTTTTGACTAAAACAGAGGTACTAACATATACCAGACATTTTTTTCAAAGCTGCCTCATTCAATGTTGAGATTCATACATTAGGCTTATAGTATTACTAGTCTATGCGTACGTTCAACACACATCTTGTTATTCTTTATTAAACCTTACTATAATATTCTATATGACTGCATGTCAGCTTTTGTTCTCCAGAAAAATGGCGAATTGCCGACATTATGGTGAGGAAGACATTGATTGCATAGGAGTCTTTATTGTACCTTTATTTTAAAGATTCTTCCGCAATCAGTGTCGTACTGATCAGCTACAGTACTGTTATTCCTTTTGCTGCTGTTATTTTCTGCTTCCCCTGTTATCCTTGCAGTCATTTATAGCAATTCTATTTTGTTCTCTGTTGCTGCTATCTTTCTTTTCTGTTTGTTTTATGTCCTCTTACATAGAGCCATCGTGACCATGGTCTCGATGCACAGAAGTAACGCAGAAATATAGAGTAGTATAGGGTAGGTAAAACGATGACAGACTGACATGGTGACATACCTTGTCTGTAATACACACGGTTAAAAGTTATGCTACATGGGGAGATATGTTAACTACTGTCCAGTGTTCCTCAAACCAATAACTTCTTTACAGAACTACTGGAATAAAGTTTTGAACTAGCCCAGGGTTCGGTGCAAACTTCTAATACGCTTTTAGATATTTTTTCTTCTTTTACACTGACATACTAAAGGACACTAGTAAGTAACTTTGTATGTTGCACAACTGAATATACCATGGCATGAAGAGACGTAACGGGGTCTGTAGATACTAGATGAGGCAGGATGTACTATAACAATCATAAAACATGCGACATTTCACAATGTGTGACCAACTGAGCAAGGTTATCTATAGAAAGTTTGCTAACAAACATTGATCTTCCCTCCCACAATCCAAAAGACGGACGAAAAGAAGGTCAAGAAGAAGAAGAAGAAGGAAGAGGAGCCCGCTGCCGCTCCTGCTCCTGCTCCAGCTCCTGAACCAGACCCTGAGCCTCCTGCGCCTGCGCCCACGCCAACAGTTACTCCCGCGTCGTCCAAGCCCGCCTCCAGGAAGTCCTCCTCCAGGAGGGCGAAAAAGACAGGATCCAATGTATTCGACATGTTTACACAGAGGCAGGTGGCGGAGTTCAAGGAAGGTTTCCAGATGATGGACAGAGACAAGGATGGCATCCTCGGCAAGAGTGACCTTCGACAGGTAGGTAGTATTCACAGAAAAGCACTAAAGCCGTAAGTGTCAATCAGAGCCTAGGGAGTGGGATGTGATTTAGTTTGATCCAAATTATAGCTACTCTCCGGTAGCTATAATTTCTAGGATTAAGAGACCCCTCACCAGCATCAAGGCAACTTCCTTGAAGGACATTCGACAGGTAATTCACACACTGGTGTCAGCCATGTTGGCCAGTGTTGCTGCAGTAGACACTATAAAGTTTAAGAAAGAAAAAAAAACGCATGTTGGAGAACAAGTTTTTAATAGTACAACCTTTTGCTCTGTTTAAAGCTTTATCAAGTCAAGTTTGATAAAGCTCTATGCAGAACGAAATACTGTGCAAATGCAATCTCGTTCTGGAACGTGTTTTTCTTCACTATCGTCTGTAATACACCACTTAGACCAGCTTTTAATGTAGGAGACACTAAAGGATGGCGGAAACACTGATGATGCTAGGTACAACGCACCTACAAGGGACACTGTAAATGCTGTTGAAGAGGTTATAGGTAGAGGAGGTCTCACAAGTACTTGTCACCAGTACATCTTACATTCTCAAACATCACCATTATTATTATTATTATTATTATTATTATTATTAAGTGTTATTATTATCAGTTATTACTGAATCCCTTGGAGTCATACAGCGCTTGGGGAATGGGTAACAATTAGCCTTAATTTAAGGAAAGCATTTCTTCCCTTCCTTGCATGGACCATGCAATATAAGAATGCTAGCTTGAGAGGTGGAGAGCTTACCTTGCATCACTGTGGCAGGTGTTCGACGAAGTGGGCAGGATCGCCACAGACAAAGAGCTGGACGACATGTTAAACGAAGCGCCCCACCCCATCAACTTCACCATGCTGCTGCAGATGTTCGCTGAGAAAAACACCGGCACCTCTGACGATGATGAGGTCGTTGCTGCTGCCTTCAACGCCTTCAGTAAGGACGGCTGGATAGATGGCGACATGTAAGTGTCTGCTGGGGTAGTTATTATTATTATTATTATTATTATTATTATTATTGTTATTATTATTATTATTATTAATTCTCCTGGAAGCGCTAAACTGATAATGATCCTTGTGTAGTCTATATTATTATTATTATTGTTATTATTATTATTATTATTATTATTATTATTATAAAAAAGAAGCGCTAAACGTGTAGCCTATAGGTTTTAAATCCTAGTAACTAAACAACCACTACTTTCTGCCACAATACGTATCATTACAGGCGTCCTGCCACGACCTAAACATTCTGCCACCACACCTGACATGATCTGAACTTCCCGTTATAGCCTAAATATTCCACCACAACGCCTACCTTGACAATCTTTCTACCATGAACTTCTTGCCACAGGTTCCGCCACGCCCTCATGACCTGGGGCGACAAGTATACTGCCCAGGAGGTCGAAGATGCCTTCGACCAGTTCGAAATGGACGACCAGGGTTTCATCGACACAGCGTCAGCCATTCAACTGTTGACGGGCAAGAGTGAGCTGGAGGGAGAAGCCTAGATTATGCTAGGTCAGTGTCATGGTATGGTCCTGGTCACACTAGTTCATTCATGGTGTGGGCAAGGTCCAGTTAGTTCAGTCTGGGGTTACCATTAAGGTCTGGCCTCAGGCAAAACTTCGAAAACTTAAAACACTACATGTATTGACAAATTTAAATTTAAAGTTTGTATAAAAATTTGTTCATATCATGTTAGATCACTCCGAACATTACACGTTAAAATATACTACCCAGAATATTATCGATAACAAATATAATGATGCTCTTTTAATTAGATTTTTTTTTCTATTTTCAGGTTGACTGCTAACCACTTTGAGCGCTGAGGGGCGTGGTTTAGAGATGCAGCCTTTGCGCTGATTGGTTAGGAGCAGCTAGCTCTTCGTCACTAGTGGACAGAGCTTAACAAAATAAAACTCCCATTTATTGTTAGTTCACTTAACACTCTGTCCTTACATTCTTCCTATGTTAAGAGACAAATTCTCATGTACTGATACTCTCTCACTCCTGTGTTAGATGTTATGTTACATAGTCCTCTTGTTCTCTATTTTTATATGTCTAATCTAAACTTTCTTGATCTGTTTAGATTTTTGCCCCATGGGGCGAATTTAATGGGCAGCGCCACTCATTCTGTGAGTGAACATACCGCCATAAAGACAGTAGGCCTATATTACAGCTCAGATAGTTGCCACGCCACTGGCGTTATCAACTTCATCCTAGGCTCTTTCAGTATTTAGGTATCACTACCTTTAAAAATTATCCTTATTAATTGCAGCATATGCTGCAGTTTTTTGTAAAATGCGTAAAATGAAAAGCTACGCAGGAAAAGATTCTTGTGGGTGTGAATCCCGCACAAGAGAATCGCAGCCCTCAGCGAGGCAGCTCACGTGTTCTAGGGAGTATTGAAACAAATTAACATCCACATGGGCACTAAAGCAGAGACCAAAAGACTATCGACAGAGACAGCTGAGGAGAACAGTGAAATTTGGAGACTCAAGAATTCACTAAGTCACTGAGACGTTCACTGCAACACTCTCTGGGCGTTCTGCTGGTGTCGTCGACCATCTGTAAAGTCCTGTCGTAAAAATAAACATGAAAACATGTCCATTTTTTTATTTATTTCCCGAGAAAGTATACTGACATGAATTTTAAAAGAGCATACAGGAAGTCCTCACTTAACGTCGTCGACAGGTTCTTGGAAACTGCGACTTAAGTGAAACAACGTATAACGAAACCAAGTTTGCCATAGGCTAACTGATATAAACAAGATTTAAGTTCCTACGGCAAGGGAGAGCTGAAAGGAGGAGCAGTAATGCTGAAGACGCAATGACTGGAATATGTCGCTCTGGGGTGCCATAATCTTATCTACTTACTTTATTATTGACATTTTTACTATCTTATGTATCACATGTTTTCGAAATTATATAAGAAACACGCTACATATTATAAAAACCTAATACAAAACAGCTATCAGGGAGGAAATTGACATAAGCGAACATGGAGAGTTACGCTGAAGTATATCCTCCATCCAGATATTTAAGTCTTTCCATATTTTCCATTATTGGCCGGGAACTAATTTCTTTTTCTCATCAACGTTATAACGAAACGACATTGAAAGAAACGAAGTTAAGTGAGGACTTCCTGTATTAGTATTAAAAAAAAAAAACTGATCATTGGAGCGAGACTAGCCCGCGATAAGCGGAAGTAGGATCAAGCTTTCACCAACCCTTATGCTGAAATACCCATATGGGTTAACCGCCTCATGGGAGATTATCTAATAAAAGTTGTCACTGTAATGGAACAAATGAACCAATACGATAAAACAAAACCAAAGATAAACATAATAACATACATTCCCTCTTACCAATTAATTATTTAGGTGTATCTGAGTCACTAATGTGAATATTTCTTCAGTCTACCTGGTGGGTTTTCTGGGGGTCAACGCCCCTCGCTGAATCACTGCTAGAAGCTTATCTATTGTAAATCACTGCGAGAAAGTTATCTATTGTGAATCACTGCTAGAAGTTTATCTATTGTGAATCACTGCTTGAACCTTATCCATTGTGAATCACTGTTAGAAGTTTATCTATTGCGAATCACTGCTAGAATATTATCTATTGTGAATAACTGCTAGAATTTTACCTATTGTGAATCACTGCCAGAAGCTTATATATTGTGAATCACTACTTGTGAAACACTGCTAGAAGCTTATCTATTGTGAATCACTGTTAGAAACTTATCTATTGTGAACCACTGCCAGAAGCTTATCTATTATGAATCACTGCTAGAAGCTTATATATGAATCACTGTTAGAAACTTATCTATTGTGAATCATTGCTAGAAGCTTACCTGTTGTGAAACACTGCTAGAAGCCTTCCTATTGTGAATCACTGTTACAAACTTATCTATTGTGAATCACTGTTATAAACTTATCTATTGTGAATCACTGTTAGAAACTTATCTATTGTGAATCACTGTTAGAAACTTATCTATTGTGAATCACTGTTAGAAACTTATCTATTGTGAATCACTGTTAGAAACTTATCTATTGTGAATCACTGTTAGAAACTTATCTATTGTGAATCACTGTTAGAAACTTATCTATTGTGAATCACTGTTAGAAACTTATCTATTGTGAATAACTCCTGAAACATATCTATAGTGAAGAACTACTAAAACCACGAGACTGTACTAACTAATTTTTCTTAAATTTTTATTTTCACAGCGGGTGTTTTTATACACGAAAATGTTACAGTAATTATTCACTGTAGCTTCAAAAGTAAACATTACACAAGTTAAGAAACATGAAATCATTCACTTTATCCGTTGATGCCTGATGAGTAACTATTTCTATACAGGAAATAAACTGATAATGTATACAGGAATGGAATCCATAAATGAAATATCGTAAAGCTGAATATATTAGGGTAAAAATTTTCAGGAATATTTACGCCCCTCATTGTATACACTGAGGGGCGCATACACAGTGTATTCACTGAATTGTGTATACACAGTGTATACACTGAAGAGTGTATAGATAGGTAGCATGCAAACTAAATTATCGTACTTTAAGCCCCATTAACCAATCAACGAAAATTAATCATTCATTAATTATAGGCCTACATGTGATTAACAAGTCATTATTATTATTATTATTATTATTACTATTATTATTATTATATTTAAACAACACCAAATCTCGGTGTATCTATCTATGGGCTTATTAAACACCAATATCAAAGATACTTTAATCTCGGAAATCGTTCATCTAAACTGTATATATACATGTATTAATATATATATATATATATATATATATATATATATATATATATATATAATATATATATATATATATATATATATATATACATATATATATATATAATATATATATATATATATATATATATATATATATTATATAAATACACTCAGTGTGTTCTTATAGGTAGTGGAAAACATTTCGAAGACGAGTCTATATGGTTTATCTCAGGGATTCCAAGTATATACAAAAGGGTGTTACCATCTTAATAAATAATGATGTCTAAATCCCCAAGAAATATTTTACTGCTAGATTTTATAAGTAGCCTATTACTCTCAAGGTCTGCAAGATTTTCTTAATCCATCAATGTGTATCGATTAAATATGGAGGAACGTTACGCATTGTTTTATAAAAGCTTATGGTGAACTTTAGCACCTCAAAATAAAGAAGACGAGCCTTACAGAAATAACATTGAAAAGTTGCCTCACACCGGCAGAGCCAAGTGCCAGGTGCCACGGTGTATATTCTTGCAGCTGTTTATCTGATTAAGCTACAGGTAGGCTATATTATGTTTTTGTAGATCATACTGTGTACCCCGATGCTTTTTCCTCCCATACATGGCGGCATGAACCTCCCGAACTGTGGGGCAGCCTAATGAGTTTGTATTATTATTATTATTATTATTATTATTATTATTATTATTATTATTATTATTATCACGAGGCAGCGCTAAGCTTGTGAGGATCATGCAATGTTTGAGGGAATGAAAGGTAATTTGGTTTGCTCTAAAAAGGGTAGCTCTAATTCACTGGATCAAGAGCCCTTCACCAGCATTATGGGGATCAAAATTAGACACACTTTATTGGTAAGTTAATGCGGTTTAAAGCCTATCTACTACACGAGGGTCATTAAGGTTGCATGTCACATCATCACCAGTCAAGAATATTTTAATCCTTAGAATAAAAATTAAAATTCTTAAGTGTATATACTGAGAGAGACGCACCTTACAATATATATATCCAGTGTGGCTATCGTTTAGCATAATACATAAATCAAGGAGGTTGATTTCCTGTCATGGTAGTAGCTTACCTGTAATGGCCTGTGTTGGTCATGTGAGGTGCTAGTAGACTATCAGCCTCACCATCAGTATCACCATTATTCTCACCATCAGTCTTACACAGCTGCTCTGCTAGTCTCTTTGTTGATAATATTAGCTGACACTGGTGGTCATGACGTATTTGAGCCGATTCTTCACCTCTTCTCTTATATCACTCTCAATACAAACACTTTATCTAGCCGATTAAGTCCAGAAAACTACTCATTTTCGTTTAAATATCCAGGAACACATCTATCAAGAAGATGTATGTTGAGATCACTGGACTGTGTTCGTATGTGTGGCGCAAATAAATGTTGCGAACCGAACATAGTACAAGTTAAATGTTCACCGAGAAGATTTAAGGACATGAAATATAAACCTTTAAAAACTTCAACACATGTGATGGGTTAATATATATTACATCATCTCCTGAGACGTTACATTAGAATTTGTCTCCAGGGTTGGAAGGCATGGCAAGTAAATTTTGTTGTTTACATTACCTTCCATTTTACTAATGTACTACAAACATTGTGGTACCTTCTGTGTAGCTCCTCGTAAGATAGTGCACAGGGAAGAAATCTTACCAGCGAGAAATTCTTACATTTAAATGCTTCTTCATTATTACCAAAAATTAGATCTGTAACATGATGCTGGTCCCCTGATATATACTAATCTTAGTAGGTTAGAACATGTTTTTTTTTCCAGTCATACTTCATCACACGGGATGGGGTTTTTAAATCGGGTTAAGAAATCTGTCAGCCTGTCCTTGATTTCAATAATATCTAGAAGTCTGTGGAGGCTTCAGTGAAGAAAATATTCTTACCTAAAATATGCTACACCGACTGAATATTAAGCTTCGGTTAAGCAGCCTGGAAGACTTGCCCGTCTGCAATATATGACGTAAGATAGATTATTGTCTTTTGAATTATTACAAAACCGGAAAGAAATATTAGAACTGGTTGCCACAGCTCAAGTTATCGCTCAGCGATATTTTTGAAGCTGTCCGTGAAGACACGACCGAGACAGCGGCCACTAACATAACAGTTGTGGAAAATACTGTATATATTTTCCAGAAATACAGTAGTTATATGTAAATAGATGGCCATACTGTATTTAATAAAAATTTGTTATAAAAATGGGAAGCTGCGCCTGCGCAGACGAGACTCGCCATGTTTGAATTGAGACAACACAAACGTTAGTGAATAATGGGAAGAATTTTCGTGCTCTAGAGGTTAAAATTGGGCTGACACCTCTCAAATAGGAGCCGAAATTGTTGGATGTGCATTCCTGCATTACTTGAGATATCAGGTGACTGGACAAGACAGCTCCAGGAACCTCAGATAAGTTTGTTTATGTTGTAACTGGCCAGTGTTATTTTCATGGATAGACAGTGAGGTTTTCTGAGTATGATACACCTTAATCTCCAGTCAAATTGGTGAGTGATATTAAGATATATTCTCCTGTTATGTAAATGTGTGTATATATATAATCATTTATTAATTTTAATATACAGTCCACAAATTTATATATTTACCAGAATTCCTGGTGATACATATTTCATTTGTAATTAATAGGTCTAGAGCAACTTGTGGATATGACAGTGGTAGGTATCGAAGGGGGACATTTTTGCGACCTAGGTGTCCCAAATTCCTACTTGTCTAGGTAACTTTGATAAATAATAATTATCTTTGTTATCATTTACTGTTATGTACATAATGAGTTACATTCAGATAAATGCAATT